ACGATAAGGTCTGGCATCATGATTTAATTTATAAGCTAATTGAATTTCAGTGTCCATTTTGGTTAGAGAAACTGCCAAAGTCTCTTCTTGAGGGCACGAAATTCAGAATTAAAATAGAAACGCCACTGTTATCTCTGAGAAGTATCGCAGCAGGTGTTTCATAAGGCTCTGTTTTGGCTCCGACTCTATACATTATATACACTGCAGATATACCTCATACGGACATACTACTATGCTGATGACGCAGCACTGATAACTTCTACTACCAGAGGTATTATGTAATAAATAATAGCTTAAAAAACTAAAAAACACGCTTTTATAGCTAACCGAGAAAATTATTACCATCTATGCACTGTCGTTTCCTTGCATCTTGTAGAAAAAACTACAAAAACCTGTAAAATGTCACTTTTTAAGATACATAATACCCGTACCGGCCTACCCTGATGAGTAGAAGAAGTCATGTCAACCAGGGGCTATTTTGCTCTCAGTTTGCCTAAACCGAAACCACTGCTACCTGTACAACCGCAAACACCATGCATTTTTCTCAAAAACGACCTATATGATCGATCAACACTAAGAGTAGATTTTTCGAATCGGTGTTTCAGGTTTTCCAAAAAATTTTAATCGAGGCTGGCATATACGTTTGTCGTGTCTTGTTCAGAAATTATTTAAAAACACCTTTTCTTAGACATGTTGTTTATAGCGTTTTCCGTTTTGGATAGTAGTAGTATATTTAGCCAAATTTCAAGCTAAAGTTCACACGGTATGTCTAGTAGTCTAATAAAAATATCACAATAAATGTGAATATAATACAAAGTGAGCTTGTTGCACCACACTATAAATAAATCAAGATAAAAAAATACAAGTTCATTCAGCAAGATTATATAGGCAATAAGCTAACTATTATCTATCCATCGAAGAGAGAGACCAAACCTAAATACAGGGTGTCCGCAAAGTTGGGGTTTTCCTTTTCAGAAACAACTACCCTTGAAATAACAAAGGTAATGTATAGTGAAACGAGGGCAACCAAGTAAAAAAAAAAATAAAGGAAAAAGTACGAACTCTCCAGTTGACGAGAAGGGCTAAGTACGTCTCTGCCCGAAATCATACCGCTCCAACAGAAAATGAAATCAGCTGATGCGCTACCGAGCAGACGCAGGCAAACAAGGAAGGCAAAATGTTGCGTAAAAAGTCTAGGTATTGCATCCCGTCCAATCGATTTGGGAGAATAAATGGTCCAATGAGCATACCGTTCACCATGCCAGCCCAAACATTCACCGAAAATGTTTGTTGAAAATGTGTCCGACGGACGGCGTGCTGACCAAACATGAGTGTTGCGAAAGTTATTCACCCCATTACGCGTGAACGTAGATTCGTCTGTCACCAATATGCACTTCAAAAAGTCCGGATTATTGTCATGTTGATGCAACAACCACTCACAAAACCGCACTCTTGCTGGAAAATCGTCAGGTTGAAGGGCTTGTACACGTTGGACGTGAAACGGTTACAGCCCCTCTTGACGCAGCGTTTGCCACACTTTAGTTTTTGATCTTGCACTTCTTTAGCCACGTCTCTAGTGCTTTTTGTTTTTTGAAACGCAATCGTTTATACGGGTTCGTTTACCTCTACACGCGTGACCGTAACCGTCGGTTGAAGGTTGCATACTGACCTGACACACTGACCCCGACCCAGTTCTGTCGTCGGGTTGAGCTAGTGTCCTAGTACCACTTGGGGATGTCGCGGCTACAGGACGGTATTCAGATATTTTTGATGTTGCAGAGCCCTTTATCTCGGTTCCCTTAAAACATTGGTGTATATGGTACTAAGAAAAATTGCTTATGTTTTCAAGATCTACACGTCGTGTAAAGGAAAACCCCAACTTTGCGGACACTCTGTATATACGTATACTCCAGAACGCCGAGCACGTTACAGGGCCGTACTAAGAATAAATTATTCGTGGTTCTACAACACGATCAAAAAGTATGGCAAACTTTTTGCAGGTATGTATAGGGTCCAAACGTAAAGGTTGGAATTAATGTATTTTTTTAATTTAACTGTCATGAACAAAAAGAAGACAAAGGTCTATTGTTGTTTTTAATAGATGTATTTTATCAAGAAATTATACTCGAAATGTGTCGTAAGGCGCATTTAGAAACCAGGCTTTTAAAAAATGTATTGACACATTAAAACGATAATTGCATATGCATACGAGTATATCTAACCACCGCTTGAACATGGACGTCAGTGTGCAAATAGTTAATTTAAATATTAGACTAAAAAATGAATAGATAGGTGGAGTTGAAAGAAAAAGAATTTGAATACATAACATATACTAAATATTATACAAAAATTTATCGCACAGACATTTTACCTCTAAAACCGGAAATACATATTTTTCAAAATGAAAATCATTCTAGATCTGAGGCCGTGGAACTCCCACTGTCATCAAGATTTATGATTGAAGGGGCAACGTGACTATCAATGAATACCTTCTAATTCCCACATTTTAGGTTCGACCTTTTCTTTTACATGCTGATACATTTTCCCACTTATTCGGTGTTATTCTTTGTATAGCATCATGAATGATCGGATTGAGCTCACAATGGTAAGGAGGCAGTCGTAAAACAGTTTTATTTTGTTTTTTAGCCATTTCATCAGTTATGTTCAGGTTGAAATTATTTTTATGCCTCTTGACAATTTTTAACAATTCCGCCTTAACTGTTGTATCATCATAATCAATCTTTTATTTTTAAACCATCCTTGAATTTGTGATTTTTTTGTTTACATTGCTGGAATTTTCTTTAATCTTCTCGTGTGGAATGAAGCATTGTCTAACACTATAACCGAATTATCTTCAAGCTGCGGTAGAGCATTTGAGAACCAATTTTCGAACGAGGCTCCATCCATTTCTTCACAAACACAAATCCATTTTCATTACCGATGTGGCAAATTATCCATCGCTTACCTTTTCCTAAAAATAATTCATTTTGGACACTTTAAAACCGCTCCTATTGAAAGCATTAAAAACCCAACAAAATGATTTCTTATCTCGATATAGTTTAAGCATGTACAAAAACAAAAATAAAATATAATCTTAGTTGAAATTTCTCGTCTTACAAGTGTTGAAAAATATGTAGGTGTCAGCTTTGCAAACAATATCCTGAACACTTGAATCACTCCTTTCTTGCATTTCGTATTTATAAATGTTGATAATTCGCTAACGCTAAAATGAAGCCTTTTAGCTCTTTTTTTAGGCGGTGTGCGGCTTATATCAACTTCATCAGCTGTATCCGTATCAGACATTTTGAGTTCAACGAAATTAAACAGTAAACAGTAATACCAGTATAAATCTGATGCCAACTCTGTACTGTACGGTCAGCCACCGGAAGAGCCTGAATGCACGGTCGTATCGTCTCCCACTCCACCCTCTGGTTTGTCATTGGTTTTGAGTAATAGCTCGACCTATTCTGCCCAATAACAGTTATGCTCCCTCTCTCTTGTAATATATCAGTTTACTTATCACGTAATTAATAATCACGCGATGATCACTGTTTTGGTTTAGTCTCTTTCTTAGATACATACATAATAGTGCTTTTGTTATAATAGTGTTTAACTACTTTAACTAACTGGGAAAAAATATCTACTTGTTAAACACTTTATTAAATATAGAATAAAAACTTAATGGTTACTACTTAGGAAAATTTAACAATTCATTTATAGAGTAAAAACATTTCACACTTAAATACTTAAAAATCTGATTTTAAATTCCATATTTTATACATAAATGATTTACCTGCCATAGTCAAAAAATGCAAAATTCAAATTTTCGCCGATGACACTATGATTTATATAAGTACTAAAAATATTCAGTCTGGTATCTCTTATATAAATGAAGACTTGAAGCTTGTCTCAAAATGGTTAGCATCTAACAGACTAAAATTAAATGCAAGTAAAACGAAAGCCTTGTTAATCGGAAAAAAACAATGTACAAATGTTCAACTGAATATTGATGGTGAAGATATTGAATTCGTAGAAAATTTTAAATACCTGGGAGTTTTTGTTGACTCTCGATTAATTTTTGATATTCATTATGAAAAAGTTATAAATAAGATTAGTAGTAAAGTGGGATATTTATCGAGAGTTTCTGGATGTCTGAGTTCATATAGCAGAAAAATTATCTATAATACCATCATCCTTCCAAATTTCTTGTACTGTTCGACTATTCTATATTTAGCAAATAATTCCATTTTTGAAAGACTGCAAATTTTACAAAATAAGTGCATGAGAATAATACTAAATAAAGATAAATATACTCCAATTAGGCAAATGCTTAGCAAATTAAAATGGCTCAATGTAAAATTTTTTATTAAATATCTTGTAATGATATTATACATTTATAAAGTAAAAAATAATATATTTCCATCAAGTCTAACTAATTTAACATCATCAAATGTCGACCATCATTTACATAATACCAGAAATAAAGATGACTTCCATTTAATGACCAAAAAGTATAACATATGCTACAAATCTGTATTCCATCAAGGGTTGATTGAATATAATAAATTATACTCGGAGATAATAGACCAGAAAACTTTGACAAAATTTAAAGTAAAATTGAGAAATCACTTGTTAAATCTACAATTATAGGTTGCCCAGCATTTACATCATACACCATATGGCTTGAATTTACTAGTTCTAAGTTGTTTACAATTGTTCTGTTTATGTAGCCATATGTGCTAAATAAATCTTTCTACTACTACTACTACTACTACTACTACTACTAGCTCTTTATATTTCGCAGATCTCAAGGAGAGTATTGTGCAATGTTATGTATAGAAATTGAGATATTTACCGACCTATTCCGGGACACCTTGTATTTTTTTTAGAGGGTTTTTTTTACTAAAATGCCTGTTCTGTAAAGGTCAGCAGCTATTAAGCGGCAACGTCGCAACATTTCGACGTTTGTCATCTGTCAAAACCAACGTGACAAACAGCCGTCAAAAGTGACAAACAATGCCCTACAATTGAAATTGAAAATATTTACTAAGCGGAAAGCTGAAAAGTGCCAGGCAATTTCACGGCTGCAGCTGATATCCAGCTGAACGTCAAGCGGTGCATGTATTCTCTCCAGCTATAGAGCGTTAACAGTCATGCGATGTAAGTACTAATCTAATCAATATCAGTCTCATTGACCATATCAGAATAAGAAGAAATGGGAAACTCAGGATTAAAACAACATATTGAAACTGCTCAAAAGAGTGGGGTGCTCAAAGTCTCACCTGGTAAGCTGAACGAATTTCCGCCTGGATTCAAACAGCTGGAAGGAAATCTGAGAACCTTGGACATATCAGACAATAAGTTTGTTGTCTTACCTAATGAAATCAGCAGATTCATGCAGTTGAAGCATTTGAACATAAGCAAGAACAAACTAGCTAAGATCCCTGATTGTATCGGCGCTTTAACAAAATTAGAAACTTTCAATGCTAGCCACAATAATCTGACAAGCTTACCGAGAACTATATCCAATCTGATCAATTTGAAACAGGTCAACTTGTCTGGCAATCGTATCAAAGAGTTTCCCCTAATGTTTTGCGGTTTGAAACATCTGGATGTGCTAGATCTAAGCCAGAACGAAATCACTTATGTCCCGCCTGAAGTGAACGGCTTGAATGTCACGGAGCTAATCCTCAATCAGAATCAAATATCGCAGTTGTCTAGTCAGATTGCAGAATGTCCCAGACTGAAAACATTGAGGATAGAAGAAAATTGCCTGCCGTTATCCGCGATTTCACCGAAAATCCTAGCAGAATCAAAAATTTCCACACTAGCAATCGACGGTAACCTTTTCGAACCAAAGGAGTTGGCAGAGCTACCCGGTTATGAAGCATACATGGAAAGATTTACAGCGGTTAAGAAAAAGCTATTTTAATAAAAATTATGTAGGAAATCTTACTCAAGCACAATACTTTTTTTGTATATAGTAGCAATGTTTTATATTTATTCAGTGATTTATTCCATGTATTATAATTGTTAATAGATTTTTATATATTTAGGGCTGTATCGTCAGTCATTCCTACAATTGTGGGATGCCTCCTTGATTTTCATAGTTTTTCCTGTCCTTCAGAAAGGCAAGGATATTTCTAGATTGCTACTGTTTCATGTCAGTATCAGCGCTCTCCTGTTGTGTTTTCTATTGGAATTGTGGGAAATTTCATGCTCAAAAAACAGTTCTTAGAAATCAAAAGCATGAACAATTTGATGCAAATAGATATTTGTAACATAACCTCAAAATAGGGCGCTGACACGGAACCGTAGAAATCTATGAAAATCAAGGAGGCCGTAAAGGCGTCCTACAATTATAGGCCTCCTCAAATATCTATTTGCATCAAATTGTTCATGCGTTTGATTTATATACCCAGCCTTTCCGAAGGAGAGAAAAGACTATGAAAATCAAGGAGGCATCTTACAGTGATTTTTATAGTTTTTCCTGTCCTTCAGAAAGCCAGGGGTATATCTAGATTTCTGCTGTTTCATGTCAGCATCAGTGCCTCCCCTGTTGTGAGGTAATGTTTTCTTTTGGAATCGTAGGAAATTTCATGCTGATAAATAGATACTTATAACATAACTTCAAAACAGAGTGCTGACACTGAACAGTAGAAATCTAGAAATACTCCTGCCTTTCTGTAGGACAGGAAAAACTATGATAATCAAAGAGGCCATAAAGGCGTCCTGCAATTGTAGGAACCGCTGACGATATGGCCCTTAGACCCGTATTTAGTTATATTTGAAATTGAATTTTATGTAGTTAGCTCTATCATGAGTGGCTCCAGTACATTGAGAAAAGAAATCTAAAAATCATATGACTGGTCACCGTAATATGATCGAATAGATTTTGTGTGATTTCTTGAAATCTGAATAATTTGTACCTTGGGACGATAAGACTGAGGATCTCAGTTAGTTAGAATGTTTTTTGTAGTTTTAAGCAAGAAAAAGTAGTCCACTGTTATTGGTTATCAAAAGATGTTTTTTCAATTATATAAGACAAGCCCCTGTCATTGTGCCAAACAAAATCATGTTGGTCACATTGTTTTCAAGTAACTTAAACTTAAAGATTCCACCATTATAGTGGTTGTCTGCTGTATTGCAATAGCCTTGGAATAGCTTTGACAGTAAGCAGCATTTATTCAATAAACTATCAAATCAGACTTCCAAGTGCCAACTGGCAAAGCTATTTGATGGTAACACATCACGCAACTGCTGCAGAACTAGTTACCTGAATGGCACTCTATTGTTTTATGTGGGTCATGTCTATTATGAATGTTCCATACGTTCAAACAGAACTGTATATCAGTAAACACTCCGTATCTCAATTAACTGGAACCAACTGTGAATGCAGAAGTAGTGAGAACCAGTATTATGTTGCCCTGAAATAGGTTAATGATGGCAAGTGCAGGATTCGCAATTGATCAGAAACTAAACGTAAAGGGATGGCAAAAAACAAAAATAAGAAATATATAATATTCTAATTGATTTAAAAACAAATTATACAAAGTTTCATTTAAAAATGAAATTTTGTCGTTGGTAAGGGGGCTACAGTTATACTCTCCAGGATATACAGGCTTTACTGACTTTGAAGTTGAGTCATTAATTTTCAGATAATGATTGTAGAAGGAAGATAAACCAAAATATGTGTGTAAAAATAAAAAAAAACATTAAAAAAATTTTTTTACCTTGTTTTATAAAGTATCCTCCCGACAAGTATTTCAGTGCGGACCTGTATTTGATCGTGAGGTCTTGGAGCACCGGCATGCCGTCCCCTGTGAGGTCTTAAGTCACCTGATTCACGAGCCCGTTGTACTACATTAACAAAGGCACGAGGGGTTGGTTGCACTCGATTGGGAAACCGATCCGCATAAACATGTGCCATTTTTGATTTCGTTTGAGCCACGCAACAGACACCACTATTCACTCACGCGTTACTGACTGACACTGACTGTATACAACTGAATAAAATAATTGTAAAAACATCGTTCCAAATTCTTTCGCTTTTTTGTTTCCGATGCGATGAACCGATAAGGCGGATTATATCCGTTGTTGCCAAACACGAGCACATAATATTATTATTGAGACAGGGCGGTACTCAAACTTCCAAAGGGCTATAACTTTCTTACTTTAATTTTACCAGAAAAATGGTAAAGGAAAAAAACATTTCTTTTGATCAGCTCTACTTACTGTTAAAATAAATGACTCAACTTCGAAGTATGTGTAAAAAACTGGCAATAATGTTCTGGTACTCATATGAGTCACCTAAAATTATTATTCTCTACTTCTGCGTACACAGTACCGAAAGTAGCTTATTATTTTTCCATTTTGTTGATTACAAATTAAATTCAACAAATTTAATACCAACATTACCAACAAGAGGTGCTTTCTCTGTCAATTTCATAGTTTAATACATTGTTGTAATGTAGCTTTTCAAAAAAGGTTGTGAAACTTCCACAAATTGTATGTACCTCATCTTTTCATTCAATATTACTTTACACTATAGCAGGTAATTACTTCTTTGAATACATTCAGCAAACGTTTAAGTTTTCATGGATTTTGCACTTTATTGAGCATTGTTCAAAATATGTAAAATACTCAAATTTTTGTTTTTCTTAAATGGAAAATGTACTTACTTACCTCTCCGTATTTTATAATTTTTGCAGTCACTAGAAAAGAGTTGGCGTAACTGGATGTACTTCATATAAAATGACGGTGATATTTTCTCTCTGAAATCGCTCTGCTATTTTCTCTTACTGTTTTGGTAGCACTTTCAGAGAGAAAATTGCATTTATGTATTCTGGAACATACTGGTTTGGTGGTGTTATAACATTGATTTAATAAAACGCATTTCTGGATAATTCATCACGTAATTTCAACGTTTTGTAACTATGCAATTTTAAACTATTTCTACGATTGATCTTGGGTATATTCACAAAAATCTGTTTGAATACTAAATGAATGTGAATTATTTCATTCATAATACGTATTCCAATTTGCTGTTATCCAATCATTCAATATGTATGTTCATGGAAGATGAATGATAAATTTAATTACCCCTGATTGAGTACGAAATTTTCAAAGATTTTTTTCTAGCAGCGTGCGGAAAGTACTAATTTTCAACACGCATCTGCGCGGAGAAAGTAGCACTTGTGCGGAAAAGTGCTACTGCCTGCACGCTGGTAGAAAAATATATTCTCTAGTTTTTTTGGTGCATTTTATATGTAGACAATTGAAAATATGAAATATTGTCAATGTCATGTTTTATTTGAATAAGGCCATCGCGGTAGCCGAAACGTTAGCAAAGAGTCATTGCTATACAGGGTGTTTCAGTTTATTGTTGCATAACTTTAAGATTCGATAGAACTTTTAAAATTAATGCATCGAACCTTAAAAATCGAAATATCTCAAAAACGGCTAACTATAACGAAAACTCACAGGAGAGCTTTTTTATATTGAAAAGTGCGAAGAATCAGTTGTTTTATTCAAAAAGCAAAAAATTCCACTAAGAAAAATTTGTCGGTCATTTTAATATACTACAGGTACAGTAGAGAGGGCCCTCTAGCGGCTACAGTAAAACTATGCCCATGATTCGTTTTGTCGTACCAAAAAACCCTTGTATACCAATTTTCACTGTTATACATCAAATATTGTTCGAAATATTTAAAAAAACTATTTTAGAAAGTAAATTTAAACACCCTGTATTTCGGAAGCCACGCATTTTTCGACCCATGTTTATATAGACTTTATGCATTAATTTTAAAAGTTCTATCGAATCTTAAAGTTATACAACAATAAACTGAAACACCCTGTATATGTGGTTTCATCATAGACAAAGGGATATGAAATATTGTACTTGAGCTGACGTGTTGAATGATTGAATAACACGTAATGTAGTGTTTTAGGTATGTGTTGTTAAATCCATTATATGAAACAATAGATTAGATATGTGGGTCCAAAGCATATGTACATAATTATATACCTTCCCAGCATTCAAATTACGATTGCTCTTTCACGTCATAGTAAATATACACTATACTTACATTTTAGGACTGTTTCACAATTTCACTCGTCATTACATACGATTCTGCACTAGTTATCTTTTTTCTTACACATTCTATTCGATTGGCACAGCTGCACCATTTTTATATTTTGCATGCATCCTTTTCATGAAATGGTTCAGATAAATTGATATCCCATTATTTACGTAAGACAAGTATTTTATCTTTATGTACAATAAATACATTTTTTCTAGAGCTTTCATCGGTCTATTCCGTGAAGTAATGTCACCTAACAAATTATGAAATGCACTTTTCTACATTTATATGTATATTTATAGTTTTAGCTGGAAGAGTTTATTTATTCTACTGATAAATATATTATGCCTAAGAGTTTGTACTTTGCTGCTCAAACTTCGATTTCTCTATTTTATATAAACTTGTTGCCTATTCTAATCTGTATTTTTGTTATGATGTATTAAATGTGAGTGTATAAAATTAATAGATATGTCGAAAATTCATTTTTTGTATCCTTTAATGCACCACATTGAAATTCAGCTTTGACTTTATCGACAACAAATAATAGATGGAAAGCTAATTGTCCAGCAGGCAAGTAATTAGAGCAGGGAATTGCCCTTAGGTTTAACCCACCGAACCCAGGCCCACTGAATGGATTTTTCAGAATGCAAAGCGCGTTTAAAATACTGTTTTTAAAAAAGTTTACCAATTATTTTTGTGCTCTTTTGATTTTCAAATGTTTCTATTTTTTACAAACTTATTACCTGTTACTTAACTTGAGTTACATGTTTGTACGTGGGTGATAAAATTTGGAACTGAATTTTGAACCAGTGAACCTCAATCAATTCAGCTGAAAGGTTGCACAAATCAAAGGAATCACTTGTATTCAAATATTAACCTATTGGTATACGATTTTTCTGTTCTTTCTCAGTTCCTCGAAAATAGTCACGCCCACCTTCTTTACTTGTTTTCAAGAATTAACCGATTCGTATACGATCTTTCTGTTGTTTTTCATTCATCGAAAATATAAACACGCCCACTTTCCTTACTTGTTTTGAAAAATTGACCTATTGGTATACGATTTTTCTGTTCTTTTTCAGTTCCTCGAAAATAGAAATACGCTCACTTTTCCTATTTGTTTTCCAGAATTGACCTATTGATATACGATTTTTCTGTTCTTTCGGAATTCCTCGAAAATAGAAACACGCCCACTTTTCCCTTTTTGTTCTCAGGAATTGACCTACTGGTATACGATATTTGTTCTTTTTCAATTCCTCGGAACATAAAAACGCCCCCACTTTCATTACTTGTTATCAAGAATTAACCTATTCGTATACGATTTTTCT